GCTCTAGGCACTGTCAGGCCATCCAATGCTAATCAAGGTGGTCAGTTGAAACATTCACACCGAGCTCCAGCAGACAAGAGTCTTTTGTCCCACCCTGGTCATTCCACAGATATATAAATCCATTTTCCTACTTCCAACAGACCTCACTACCTCTGAGGATGCTTGCCATAGATGCAGGCGAAACGTCAGGAGAAAAATTGCCTCCACAACACGGCCATATAGCCCGGAAAAACCTACAACAACCCATAAACTGATTAGTATTTCAATGGGAAGTGTGGGTCTGCTTTTAGCTGATGAGATAGGATTGTTGTTGTTGTTGTTGTGTGCTTTCAAGTCATTTCAGACTTAGGTTGACCCTGAGTGAGGGCTGGGTAAATGACCATGGAGGGCCGCATCCGGCCCGTGGGCCTTAGTTTGAGGACCCCTGATCTAGAGCAAAACACATCGCCATTGATCATTTTTGCTCATGTGCTGTAGTATATATTTGCTTTTTGAAGTCCCTTCTGTTGTGTTTTTCAGTGTTTTTATGAGTGATGGTTACTCGTTGGCCTGAGAGGTGTCTTGTGTCCAAATCCGGTGTCCATTTATCCAGTGGTTTTTGAGTTATGTTAATCCCACAAACGAACATTACATTTGTATTTATATAGATGTGCTACACTTAATGTGTAGAGACACGTTCCAGAAGCAGCCAGGCTTTGAAGCTGCAAAGCTATTCAATGCGGTTTCCAGTCCAGCATCCGTGCGGGGCACGGGACAGACACTGTTCTGGTCTCCATCACGGATCACCTTCGATGCCATCTTGACCAGGGCGGGTCAGAGCTGCTTGTGTTATTGGATCTCACAGCAGCATTGGACACAGTCGACCACAATCTTCTGACCTACCGCCTTGCTGCTGTTGGAGTCAGGGGGAGAGCTTTGAACTGGCTCCCCTCCTTCCTTCACAACCGTGGACAGCGAGTGGAGAGGGGAGGCCTGGTCTCTGAGAGGTCCCCCGTCTCTCTCTCTCTTGTGGGGTTCCTCCTCAGGGGGCCATTCTCTCCCCTCTCTTGTTTAACATCTCTATGCGACCACTTGCTCAGCTGGTTTGAGGTTTTGGGCTGGAGTGTGACCAGTACGCTGATGACACTCAGCTGGTGCTGAAGATGGAAGGCCGACCGGACTCTGGACCCGATTGTTTCTCATCCGATGTATCCCTCATAAGGCCGTTACTGTGATGGCTGCGTGCCAGCAGGTTGAGGGTGAATCCAGCAAAGACGGAGATCCTATGGCTGGGTCAACCGGGCAGTGGGGATATCCAGCTGCCTACCCTGGATGGCGAGGCGCTACGCCCGTCCTCGTTGGTCAAGAGTCTGGGAGTCCTTTTGGACCCTCTGCTGAGGATGGAGGGCCAGACCTCCCACTGCCATGAACAGAACCGCCTTCTTTCTTTCCCCTGCAGCAGGCTAGACGGCTGGCCCCCTCCCTGTCCAGGGACTACCTGGCTATGGTGATCCAGGCCACGGTCATCTCAAGACTGGACTACTGTAACGCCCTCTACATTGGCCTTCCTCGGTTGGTGATCCGGAAGCTCAAGTTGGTACAAAATTCAGGTGGGAATTCTGATGAGATGCCACATCACCCCAATCTGACTGCAGCTGCATTGGTTACCCATTGAGCACCGGATCACTTTCAAAGGGATGGGACTCACCTTGAAGGCCTTGCATGGTCTGGGGCCGATGTCCCTGAGGGACCGCCTCACCCCCTCCCAACCCCAGAGATCCCTCCATTCTGAGGACCAAGATCTGTTGGAAATTCCCAGTGTCAAGACCTTGCGTCTGACGGCAACCAGACGCAGAGCCTTCACAGCAGTGGCACCATCACTCTGGAACACTCTGCCACCTGAAGCCCGAGCCTTGCGGGACTTATCAGCTTTCCGCAGGGCATGGAAGACATACCTGTTTCGACAGGCCTTTGATCTTTGATATTGTTGTTTTTAAATAGTTTTTAAATTGTTGTTAGATTTTAGCCTGTTCTTGTAAGCCGCTCCGAGCCCCAGGGGAGTGGCGGCATATACATTTGAATAATAAATACATAAATAAATAAAATCAAGAATACGTTGGAGCATGCAAGGAATCAGGGAATGTCTGTCAACTGTAAAATAAGATGCATGAAGCTGATTGGTCAGGAAATGCCCAGGGAGCTGGCTGAGCCTGGGACTTTTGGATACTGTTACGTTTTTGTTCAGGCTTGAGTTATGGAGGTGCACAGTCAGACAGTTTGAAGAAGAGAGACAGAGTTGCCGCTGAAGGAATTTATCCACACGGACAATTTTAAATCTCTCATGAAAAGGATATACGTTTGCATAATAAACAAATAAATATAAATAAATAAATAATCAAGATGGCCAGTTGCAACATTCACACTTGCCTCAAGCAGACAAGAGTTCTTTCGCTGTCCTCGCCGGTGTTTATGCACAAAGATCTTCAAACAAAGATTAGGACGTGAATCTTTTGAATCTCAACTAATCAAAAGCTTCAGTTCCTCTCCAAACGTGTCTATAAAAATACAATCCCAACAGATGTGCTAATTTGCATATTAATGCTACAACGTGTGAGCTGAAACTAAGAACTGCTTTGCGTACGGCGACTATTAATAACACATGTTGAGGATTCTGCTATCTTTCCTTCATTGATCCCCACAAAAAATATATATGGCAGGACACAAATGTTCTTGTTGCAAACAGGATTTACATGTGAAGCAAGGAGATGCTTTTGATTTTAAGTCAACGCATTGAAAGCTGGAAAATGACACTTTCCAAAGTCCAGGTACACAACTGCCACCTTAAGCTGTGAATCCTTAGCAATTCAAACTTAAGTGTATATGGGAATGTATTTCTAGTCCAAGAGGATTCTAAGGGTTCCTTTTGAGTCTGTTTTGGAGTTTTTTGGGACCTTAAAAGACTTTCTTATGATGTGAATCCTAAGTTTTGGAGACTTGAGTTTTTGGACTGACATCTTCCAAAGCCACATACACAACCGCCACCTAAGTTTGAGTTTTGGAGACTTTTAAGGTTTTGGACACCTTCCAAAGTGAGATGCCACCACCTAAGTTTGCCCAGATACACAATCGTCATCTAAGCTTGAACTGGAGTTTTTGGACTGACATCTTCCAAATCCAGATACACCACCGCCATCTAAGTTTGAATACTAACTTTTGGAGACTTTTTGAGGTTCTGGAGTGACACCTTCCAAAGCCCAGATACCCAACCGCCATCTCAGTTTGAAGCCTGTCAGTTATTTATTTATTTATCGTGTCATCTGCAACCAGAACATTGTATTACATTTCTAACAGAACGAAACAAACAAACAGATAAAAAACCCCACAAATTTTGCAAACTTGGTAGCTGATTAGATGTCCTTGGACAAGTATCTGGGCATTTGGGGTGCCTCTGGTGTTGCCGCAAGAAGGTCCTCCCTTGTGCATGTAGCAGGGCTCAGGTTGCATTGCAGCAGGTGGTCAGTGGTTTGCTCTTCTCCACACTCGCATGTCGTGGATTCCACTTTGTAGCCCCATTTCTTAAGGTTGGCTCTGCATCTCGTGGTGCCAGAGCGCAGTCTGTTCAGTGCCTTCCAGCCCAGTTTTCTGTGTGCCCAGGGGGGAGTCTCTCATTTGGTATCAGCCATGGATTGAGGTTCTGGGTTTGAGCCTGCCACTTTTGGACTCTCGCTTGCTGAGGTGTTCCAGCGAGTGTCTCTGTAGATCTTAGAAAACAATTTCTAGATTTAAGTTGTTGACGTGCTGGCTGATACCCAAACAGGGGATGAGCTGGAGATGTCTCTGCCTTGGTCCTTTCACTCTTGGCTGCAACTTCCCGGAGGATGTCAGGTGGTGCAATACTGGCTAAGCAATGTAATTACTCCATTGGTGTAGGGCGCAGACAACCCGTGATAATGCGGCATGTCTCATTAAGAGCCACATCCACTGTATTAGCGTGGTGAGATGTGTTCTACACTGGGCATGCTATTCAGCAGCAGAGTAGCATAGCACAGGGCAGATGTCTTCACTGTGTCTGGTTGTGATCCTCAGGTTGTGCCAGTCAGCTTTCATATAATATTGTTTCTAGCGCCCACTTTTTGCTTGATGTTCAGGCAGTGCTTCTTGTAGGTCAGAGAACGGTCCAGAGTGACTTCCGGGTATTTGGGTGCGCTGCAATGCTCCAGTGGGATTCCTTCCCAGGTGATCCTCAGAGCTCGGGATGCTTGTCCGTTCTTGAGATGAAAAGCACATGTGTGTTTTAGATGGGTTAGGGATCAGCTGGTTTTCCCTGTAATAGGCAGTAAGAGCACCTAGAGCTTCGGAGAGCTTCTGTTCACCATCTCAAAGCTCCCTGCTTGAGCAGTAATGGCACGATCATCACCATAGATGAAACCCTCTGTCCCTTCTGGCAGTGGCTGGTCATTTGTGTAAATGTTGAACATGGATGGAGCAAGCACGCTCCCCTGACGCAGGCCGTTCTTCCATCCAGAGAGCACTGTGGATTCAAACAATGATGGGCAGTGAGAGCAGTGTCAGTGTCGCTCCACGATATCCAGCCCAAGAGAAAAAGACAGTGTTGTTCTGGTTCCTTTCCTGTTTCGATGAATTTTTGGGGGGAACTTTGCAAGAAGATGAAGAGAGTCCAACTTGTAGGTTGTGAAGTCTGGGAAAAGTTTGGCAAATGGGGGAAAGTCCCTTTGTATGTGTACCTAATGAATTGCAAAGAGTTCTTGGTTTATGTGTTTCAATAAAAGTTGGTTTTGAGCATCCTAAAAAAAAAAAAAGCTGGAAAATGAAAGAGAGCAGGTTTCTTTGCTAATGAGTGGGAGGGAACACCGAAAGCCATTTACCTAGAAAAAGTAAATCAACTCGTCTTTCGAGTGCACTTTGAAGAACATGCCTTGCACTTTGGCACTTACTATGAAGAAGAAGAAGGGGGGGAAACCATACTCGTGAAATTGAGAAGTTGAGCACTTTGCACTTACATGATTTTCTTGGCTCCTGATCTCGTGCAACAAGGATGCGGAGAAGGTGTGGGAGAAGGCTCTCTTGTCCTTAAAAAGAGGCATAAGCACATTTAACTAACTTTTATTTAGTAGGCAACCTGGCTTTTTTAAATTGTTACTCAGATTAGTCTATTTATATTTATATTATATAATTATATATAACAAATATAATATTATATATCTATATCTATATATATATAAATGCTCTGTGCGTAATGAGTACCTTAAAAACAAAAGAACCAATGAACGAAATCACATCAACAAATTTGGCAACAAACATTTCCCTACACAAGGAGTGACCATCATGATTTTGTCATTTGGGAGTTGTAGTTGCTGGGATTTATAGTTCACCATCCTTACAAAGTTCTGGAGAGACTTATTTTGCATAGAATTATGGAAAACATAGACCCCTGTCTGATTCCACAGCAAGCTGGCTTCAGGAAAGGCAAAAGCTGCACATCGCAAGTGCTGAACCTGACTCAGCACATAGAAGATGGCTTTGAAAGGCAGCAGATCACAGGAGCTGTCTTCATGAGACTGTGAACCACCGCTGCCTCCTCCTGAGAAAAATGTATAGTATCCCAAAGGACGACCACCTCACCCGCCTCATAGGAAACCTGCTACAAAACAGGAGCTTCTTTGTTGAGTTCCAGGGCCAGAGAAGCAGATGGCGGAAACAGAAGAACAGCCTGCCTCAGGGGAGCGTGCTCGCTCCATCCATGTTCAACATCTACACAAATGACCAGCCACTGCCAGAAGGGACAGAGAGTTTCATCTATGCTGATGATCGTGCCATTACTGCTCAAGCAGGGAGCTTTGAGATGGTAGAACAGAAGCTCTCCGAAGCTCTAGGTGCTCTTACTGCCTATTACAGGGAAAACCAGCTGATCCCTAATCCATCTAAAACACAGACATGTGCCTTTCACCTTAAGAACAGACAAGCATCCCGAGCTCTGAGGATTATTACCTGGGAAGGAATCCCACTGGAGCATTGCAGCGCACCCAAGTACCTGGGAGTCACTCTGGACCGTGCTCTGACCTACAAGAAGGCCTGAACATCAAGCAAAAAGTGGGCGCTAGAAACAATATCATACGAAAGCTGACTGGCACAACCTGGGGATCACAACCAGACACAGTGAAGACATCTGCCCTTGCGCTATGCTACTCTGCTGCTGAGTACGCATGCCCAGTGTGGAACACATCTCACCACACTAAAACAGTGGATGTGGCTCTTAATGAGACATGCCGTATTATCACAGGGTGTCTGCGCCCTACACCACTGGAGAAATTACACTGCTTAGCCGGTATTGCACCACCTGACATCCGCCGGGAAGTAGCAGCCAATAGTGAAAGGACCAAGGCAGAGACATCTCCAGCTCATCCCCTGTTTGGGTATCAGCCAGTACGTCAACGACTTAAATCAAGAAACAGTTTTCTAATATCTACAGAGACACTCGCTGGAACACCCCAGCAAGCGAGAGTCCAAAAGTGGCAGGCTCAAACCCAGAACCTCAATCAATGGCTGATACCAAAGGAGAGACTCCCCGCTGGGCACACAGAAGACGGGGCGACGTGGAAGGCGCTGAACAGACTGCGCTCTGGCACCACGAGATGCAGAGCCAACCTCAAGAAATGGGCCACACAGTGGAGTCCACGACATGCGAGTGTGGAGAGGAGCAAACCACTGACCACATAATGCACAAGGGAGGACCTTCTTGCGGCAACACCAGAAGCACTCCAAGTGGCCAGATACTGGTCAAAGGACATCGAAGCAACTACCATTTTGCAAACTTTGTGGTTTTTTTATCTTTTGTTTGTTTCGTTCTGTTAGAAATGTAATACAATGGTCTGGTTGCGGATGACACGATAAATAAATAGTTCACCTACAATAAAAGAGCATTCCGAACTCCACCAAGAATGGAATTGAACCAAACTTTGCACACAGTTCTCCCAGAGTAGGCAAACCAGACACTCTCCACATCAACACTGACCAAGAAACAACAAGAAATACTGTTTACTCACAAGCAGGAAGGAATTACATATATTAGAAACCAACACTTTCTCATTACTTGATTTTCCAGATCACCAGGCTGAGCCACAGCCACGCCTGGCAGGGGACAGCTAGTAAAAACTAAGAAGTCACCTGAAATGGAACATGACCCCCCCCCCCCCCCTCAATTAGAGATAGTAACTTATAGTTTTGCTAAGGACAAGGACATCAGGCTGGATAATAGGGGTCAAGTCTTTCATTGCCAATGGGAATGACAGCCCACATCTTCTTGGGAATACGTAATCTTGGGAATACGTAATTTTGCTCTGAAAAGAATCAACAAGGGCAGGACCATGACTTCAAACGCCAACCCAAGCAGGGAGAAAGATGAGTGTGCATTGAGAAAACACTTACTCCACAGCTGCCATCTTTCTCTTGGCCTGCTGCCTCCTGGTTTCCACGTGTTCCTGCTGCTGCACACACGAAGAGCTCTGCGCAGAGGTGCTTTTCCCAGTTTGACGATGCCTCGTACTTCCTTCCTTCACGTGGTCACTGTCTGTCACAGAGGTCTGTGAAGATGACGTCTCAATGCTCTGTAGGAATATGAATACAGGGAAATATGACAGAGGCGCATTAAAACAACATGGCATCGAGAAAGTATATAATAATAATAATAATAATAATAATAATAATAATAATATATTGTCCAATGTGTGATCAGATACAAAAGCCAGCATAGTAATCTTGTTTCCTGAGTACTAATCTTGTTGTGTATCTAATAATAATAATAATAATAATAATAATAATAATAATAATAATAATAATAATACATCACAGAGTCCTAGACGCTTGGGAAGTGTTCGACTAGTGATTTTGTGATACGAAATCCAGCATAGAGATCTCGTTTGCTGTGACGGAGGGTGACTAAAATGATCAAGGGTCATTTTCTGGTAGACACTGATTATCTGGATCCGGCACAGTCTGATTTTAGGCCGGGACATGGAACTGAGACAGCCTTGGTCGCCTTGGTAGATGATCTTCGCCGGGAGCGAGACAGGGGGAGTGTGTCCCTGTTAGTTCTGCTGGACCTCTCAACGGCCTTCAATACCATCGATCAGGGTATCCTTCTGGGGTGCCTCATGGATATGGGGCTCGGGGGCACTGCTTTGCAATGGCTCTGATCCTTCCTTGAGGGACGGTCCCAGAAGGTGTTACTGGGTGACACCTGTTCGGCCCTACAACCGTTGTCGTGTGGAGTCCCTCAGGGTTCGATTCTGTCCCCAATGTTATTTAACATCTACATGAAGCCGCTGGGGGAGATCATGCGGAGTTTTGGAATGAGGTGTTATCTCTACGCAGATGAGGTCCAACTCTGTCACTCCTTCTCACCTGTCACCAAGGAGGCTGTCCAGACCTTGAATTGCTGCTTGGCCGCTGTGTCGGTCTGGATGAGAGCTAACAAATTGAAACTGAATCCAGACAAGACAGAGGTCCTCCTGGTCAGTTGTAAGGCCAAACAGGGCATAGGGTTACAGCCTGTGCTGGATGGGGTCACACTCCCCCTGAAGACAATGCAGGTTCGCAGCTTGGGAGTGATCCTGGACTCGTCGCTGAGCCTGGAACCCCAGGTCTCGGCGGTGACCGGGAGAGCTTTTGCGCAATTAAAACTTGTGCGCCAGCTGCGCCCGTACCTTGGGAAGTCTGATCTGGCCACAGTGGTCCACGCTCTTGTTACATCCCGAATAGACTACTGCAACGCACTCTACGTGGGGTTGCCTTTGAAGACTGTTCGGAAACTCCCAACTAGTTCAGCGGGAGGCAGCCAGAGTACTCACTGGAGCGTCATACAGGGAGCATACCACCTCCCTGTTGTGTCAGCTCCACTGGCTGCCGATCCAATTCTGAGCACAATTCAAGGTGCTGGTTTTGACCTACAAAACCCTATACGGCTCCGGCCCAGTGTATCTGTCCGAACGCATCTCCTTCTACGTCCCACCCCGGAATCTAAGATCTTCTGGGGAGGCCCTGCTCTCGACCCCGCCTCTGTCACAAGTGAGATTGGCGGGGACGAGGAGCAGGGCCTTCTTGGTGGTGGCCCCCCACCTGTGGAATTCACTCCCCGGGGAAATTAGATCAGCGGCATCCCTCCTTTCCTTCAGGAAAAAACTGAAAACATGGATTTGGGCATTCGGACAATCAGGCAGATAAAGAAAGGACTTTGAGAATGGTCAGGAATTGACTAATGGAATGGAATTATGAAACTCTGAAAGACGAACGCTGAGCATGAGAATAGTTTTATTGATGTGTTATATACTGATTGTTTTTAACTGTGATAATTGTTTTAACTATGGTTTTATACGTTATGTGTATGTTGTGCAGGCATTAAATTGTGCCTTTCTGTAAGCCGCCCTGAGTCCCCCCCTCGGGGGTTGAGAAGGTCGGGGTAGAAGTACCCAAAATAAATAAATAATTAATAAATTTTGAGATCTGTTTATTGATCCTAGAAAGTGGGGCCAGTAGGCGGGATATATTAGGGGGGGAAAAAATCCTCCGGGATCTTCTCATGATTTCGTTATACCATGGTTTGATCCCACTCAGTCTAAATATGTCAAGCCAAACGCTCTTTGAACAGAATTAATAACTTTTTAAAAGTCATTACAACTTTATGACTTTCAAGCCCTTACTTGTTCTCAAGGTAAGAACAACAAATTGTTAATCAAGAGACAATGGCTGGATTCAAATGCGTACGATCTCAATTGCAATTATGCGGATGGCATCCTAAGTGCTCGACTATTAATTCTCAAGCACCATACCTGCCCTGGCTCCACTCCGGAGGCCTCTCGAGATGATGCCTCGCTACAGCTGACGTATCTCACGGCGCTAATGATCCCCTGAAAAGCAAGGCGCTTGTGCTCCCTGTAGTGCAGGCTTTCAATCTCCTTCTCCATTTCGCTGATTGTTGTCAAAATGGATTCAACTGCAAAGAGCAATTCCCGTGATACTTAGTTTTAAAGAAACAATACCACCAAAAAAAAAGTATGAATATGAGATTTGTAAGGCAGTTCGGGCCAAGAACTTAACTCTTCGGTGATTGTTTTTAAAACTAGCACACATAAGATGTGCACAACATCACAGCAAAGTGGGCGCTAGAAACAATATCATACGAAAGTTGACTGGCACAACCTGGGGATCACAACCAGACACAGTGAAGACATCTGCCCTTGCGTGGTGCTACTCTGCTGCTGAGTATGCATGCCCAGTGTGGAACACATCTCACCACGCTAAAACAGTGGATGTGGCTCTTAGTGAGACATGCCGCATTATCACGGGGTGTCTGCGCCCTACACCACTGGAGAAATTACACTGCTTAGCCGGCATTGCACCACCTGACATCCGTCGGGAAGTAGCAGCCAATAGAGAAAGTACCAAGGCAGAGACATCTCCAGCTCACCCCCTGTTTGGGTATCAGCCAGCACATCAACGACATAAATCTAGACATAGTTTTCTAAGATCTACAGAGACACTTGCTGGAACACCTCAGCAAGCGAGAGTTCAAAACTGGCAGGCTCAAACCCAGAACCTCAATCCAAATGAGAGACTCCCCCTGGGCATACAGAAGACTTGGAAGGAGCTGAACAGACTGTGCTCTGGCACCACGAGATGCAGAGATAACCTAAAGAAATGGGGCCACTGTTGGGGTTCAGCCTGAGTTTGAACTTGAACCTGATTCTCTCTTTGTTCCTCCTGATGCTAATGAAAATATATTTACTGATGCTAATGGAAATGTACCTCTGGATGCCAATGCTCCTGAAATTAGTGAGGAAGAAACTACTGTAGGTTTGGAAAATGCCAATGTTCCTGAAATTAGTGAGGAAGGAACTCCTGTAGATTTGGAAAATGAAAGTACCAGTGTTCATGAGAATGTTTCAGAGGGAAGCCTTGACCTTTCACTCCCTTCTGCACCTGGTAACGTTAATGAGAACAGAAGGGGCCAGATCTGGCAAGACAGAAGTAAATCACTCAGCTTGCGAAGGTCTTCCCGAATTAAAGAATTACAAACATTGGCTTCAAAGCAGAGGGGCGGTTCACGGAACCAATTCTTTGGCTTTAATTGCCTTCCGCTGGGCTGACTTTCTCAGTTCAGGCGTCGTTTCAGATTGATGAAGACCTTGGCAGTTCTCCCGGTTTCCCTGGCCATGGTCTTGAAAGATTTCTAGGATATCAAGTACGGTTAGTGGATTGCTAACAGGTTCCAGTATTTTACATTGTGGCTTTGGGTTTTGCTTTGTCCATTTAAATTCATGTTTGCTGCTTTTGCTGTGGCTTTTGACTTGCATTTTTCCTTGATTTTGTAACCATTTTTCTTCAATAAAAAAGGATTGTTTTTTCACAGTCAAGTGTGGTGGATAGTTATCTTAGGGCCTCGTTCCCTGCTCTGGATTGCAACAGCCACAAAGTGGAATCCACGACATGCGAGTGCGGAGAAGAGCAAACCACTGACCACCTGCTGCAATGCACCCTGAGCCCTGCCACACGATGCACCATGGAGGACCTTCTTGCGGCAACACCAGAGGCACTCCAAGGGGCCAGATTCTGGTCAAAGGACATCTAATCAACCACCAAGCTTGCAAACTCTGTCTTTTGTATGTTTGTTTGTTTGTTTGTTTTGTCAAAAATGTAATACAACTGTTCGGTTGCCTGACACGATAAATATATATATTTGGTACACACCAAAACGTCATACCTTGAATATTTTTGCAATACTTTGAAAAAGTGTCTGGGACTGGTGGGAAAGGGTAATATCCACCCATGGACATTCTCTCCATGTGAGAAGCTTCCTCCTGCGTTTTGATCCATTGGATGAAGTTCTTCACTTTGGGATCTTTGGTATAGGGCTGCCCTCTGTGCCATCCTGTGCAGAAAAGCAAAACCATAGGAATATTTGAAGGACCCAGAAATAAAAGCACATGAATATCTAGACTAGGGGTGGGCAAACTTCGGCCCTTTTTCTATTTGTTATTTATTTATTTACGACATTTCGAGCCGTCCTTCTCACCCCAAAGGGGACTCAGAGCGGGTTACAAGTAAAAAGTAAATCTATATATATAAAAAGGGAAAGGGCGTTCAACGGGACAGCAAAACGTGAAAACCCCCCGACGAAAACTCACCACATTTACCTCAACCCACAAGGTATGCACAACGCGAATCAAAATTCCAAACAACATTTCAACAAACTCACAATTACAAAAACCAACTGAGCATGCACAAAGGCGCCCCGCCGCAAGTCGCCCGGTGCGCACACATGGCCGGCCGGCCAACGCACCCTCCGTGCAAGCCACGCCCCCATCCTCCGTCGCCCCGCCCCTACCCTCCCATACGCCCTCTTTCCAACGCACCCTCCTTCTTCTTCCCCCGGCCACGCCCCCCACGTTCACACCACGCCCCCACCCTCCCCCGCCCCGCCCCTAAACACCCATACGCCAACCATACCTCCTGCCTCTCCTTCTTTTTCCCCCGCCCATGCCCCCACGTCCACACCCCGCCCCCACCCTCCCACGTTCACGTCACGCCTCCACCCTCCCCCGCCCCGCCCCTAAACGCCCATACGCCAACCATACCTCCTGCCTCTCCTTCTTCTTCCCCCGGCCACGCCCCCCACGTTCACACCACGCCCCCACCCTCCCCCGCCCCGCCCCTAAACGCCCATACGCCAACCATACCTCCTGCCTCTCCTTCTTTTTCCTCCGCCCACGCCCCCCCACGTTCAACGCCACCCCCCCCCTCCCGCCCCCACCCTCCCACGTTCAAGCCACGCCCCCACCCTCCCCCGCCCCTAAACGCCCATACGCCAACCATACCTCCTGCCTCTCCTTCTTTTTCCTCCGCCCACGCCCCCCACGTTCACGCCACGCCCCCACCCTTAGAGTTGGGAAAGGAGTGAAAGAAGGAGAGAAAGAGGGAGAGGAGGTTGGCCACAGCAATGCATGGCGGGTAAAGCTAGTACAATATATTACATTGTTACCATAGCGCAATATTAATATTATATATGCCAGGATTATTGAAAGTATGCATGTATGTTTTTTCAATGTGTTTCAATATGATTAACAATGGTGTTCATATGTATTCAAGATGGATTCAGTCATGTTCAATTGTATGCTGGAATTGTTGTTGTGTGAGACAGAGAGGTAGAGAGAGAAGAGACCTTGGCAGAAGTAAGATAACAAGTTCTCTCTGTCTGGGAAGAATTAGGGAGTAGCCGGCTTACAGCCAAAGAGAAACTGATAAGCAGATGTTCCGTAACCGTACTATAGTTGTGCTTTGTAGTTCCTGTTGTAGTTCCTGATTAAGCTCGCTTAGAAGTAGACATGTATTAAGATGTGCTAAGTAAACTTTATTATTTTCTAAAACTGGCAGATTGCTTTGTGTCTGTGTGATCTAGTAACCTCAACTCCGCTGCGCATAGACCCCAGGGTCTCACTCTGACAATATATTACATTGTACTATAACATTATACTGTAATATTATTAGTAATATTACATTTAATATAAAACATATAACTATAATATCATTTTATTATTATTATTAGTAGTAGTAAGATATTGTATTACATTATAATATTATCAATAATATATGTATATACAATCTATATAAATAAAAATGTAATGTCCGTTTGTGGGATTAACAGAACTCAAAAACCACTGGGCGAATTGACACCAAATTTGGACACAAGACACCTAACAACCCAATGTATGTCCTTCACTCAAAAAAAATATGGATTTTGTCATTTGGGAGTTGTAGTTCATTCCATACCTGTATAAAATCCCATATGATTTGCTCTGACCTGGATTATATGTCAGTATGGACTCAGGGCCCTGCCACACAGCCATTTAACCCGGAATATCAAGGCAGATAATCCCACCAAATCTGCTTTGAAGCGGATCATAGTGTACACTCAGGACCCTCCAAACTACAACTCCCACCATATGATTGTTATTATTATTACATAATTCCCATTATTATTATTAGCCTGCTCTGCTCAAGAGAGCTGGTGCCTTTGTTGTTGTTGTTGTTAGCTTGGGCTGCTCAAGAGAGACGGTGCCTCACCAAACTTCAATTCCCATTATTATTATTATTATTATTATTATTATTATTATTAAACTGACACAAAAGCACAGTACGTCACAGCAAACGAGATCTCTATGCTGGATTTCGTATCACAAAATCACAAATCGAACACTTCCCAAGCGTCTAGGACTGTGTGATGTATATTATTATTATTATTATTATTATTATTATTATTATTATTATTATTTTACTGACACAAAACTACAGTATGTCACAGCAAACGAGAAAGTAATTAGGGCATTGCTTAAAAACGACAGGGAAAGATGAAGGTGCGTGTTATTCCTTAGTTTGATTAGTTGTAAAGCTATACATTAAAATCATTGCTTACCTGTGATAAATATCTGACTTTCATTACTAGTTGTCAGGTAAACTGTCGAGGAGCCATTCTCCGCTGTATCTCGTATCACCCGCATCTGTGTACATACCAAGTATGTCACTGGAGATGGGAAAAGGGCGGCATCATTGTTTGGTAGCAGAAGAATTAGTGTACACATTTATTACATTTACCGTATATACTTGAGTGTAAGCTGAGTTTTTCAGCCATTTTTAGGCTGAAAAAGCCCCCCTCGACTTACACTTGAGTCAAAGTTATTTATTATTTTATATTATTACTATTAATATTATTATTGTTGTTGTTGTTGTTGTAACATTGATTTATTTATTTATCACATTCATTATTTTACTCTATTATTATGACATTTATTATTTTCTCTATTTATTTTTTATTAATACATTTACATCATTTTACTCTATTATGATTACTTTTATTACACTTATCATTTTACTCTATGTATTATCATTATTATTGCAACATTTATTTTTCTCTATTTATTATTATGACATTTATTATTTTATTATTATCAAATTTATTATTTTACTCTATTATTATGACATTTATTATTTTCTCTATTTATTTTGATTATTACATTTACATTATTTTACTCTATTATGATTACTTTTATTACATTTATCATTTTACTCTATGTATTATTATTATTATTGCAACATTTATTTTCTCTATTTATTATTATGGCATTTATTATTTTAATATTATCACATTTATTATTTTACTCTATTATTATGACATTTACTATTTTCTGTATTTATTTTTATTATTACATTTACATTATTTTACTCTATTATTATTACTTTTATTACATGTATCATTTTACTCTATTATTATTATTGCAACATTTATTTTCTCTATTTATTATTATGACATTTATTATTTTATTATTATGACAGTTATTATTTTACTGTATTATCACATTTATAATTTTACTCTATTATTATGACATTTATTATTTTCTCTATTTATTTTGATTATTACATTTACAGTATTTTACTCTATTATGATTTTTTTTACATTTATCATTCTACTCTATTTATTATTATTGCAACATTTATTTTCTCTGTTTATTATTATAACATTTATTATTTTATTATTATGACACTTATTATTTTACTCTATTATCACATTTATTATTTTACTCTATTATTACATTTATTATTTTCTCTATTTATTTTGATTATTACATTTACAGTATTTTCTCTATTTATTTTGATTATTACATTTACATTATTTTACTCTATTATTACTTTGATTACATTAATCATTTTACTCTATTTATTATTATTATTATTGCAACATTTATTTTCTCTATTTATTATTATGACATTTATTATTTTAATATTATCACATTTATTATTTTACTCTATTATTATCACATTTATTATTTTCTCTATTTATTGTGATTATTACATTTACATTATTTTATTCTATTATTATTACTTTTATTACATTTATCATATTACTCTATTTATTATTATTATTGCAACACTTATTTTTTCTCTATTTATTATTATGACATTTAATATTTTATTATTATGACATTTACTATTTTACTCTATTACCATATTTATTATTTTACTCTATTATTATGACATTTATTATTATCTCTATTTATTTTGATTATTACGTTTACATTATTTTACTCTATTATTATTACTTTTATTACATTTATCATTTTACTCTATTATTTATTATTTATTATTATTATTATTACTTTATTCTATTAAGATTATTTTTCTTATTCTATCCCAATTAGAAAATGCAATTAAAAAACCCAACTTATATCACCTATCAAAGGTATTGATTGCACAACTGCCTATTTTGCTCCAACTCGATATGCCTGTTTATTAGGAGCAAATCAACCCCAAATTCCCTTCCAGTTCTCCATTTCTACTGTTGGCAAGCAAATCAGAAGGAGTTTCAATTGATCTATTATTATTATTATTATTATTATTATTATTATTATTATTATTATTATGCCTGAAGTTAAAATTAGGCCTCTAAAGAAAAAAAGCAATGAAAGTAGTAAGTTTGTAAATAAATACTTGGGTGAATTTGTTCAAATATCTCTGGCTGAGATGTAGCAAACAACTCCAAGACGAAGGGCTGCTCTGAGGTCCCATCGATCACGTGCACACAGCGACTCATCCAAAAATCCTCTCCGTGTTCTGCAAAGACAAGAGAAATATTGATGAATACTTCATGGAAAGACTTATTTTGTAGGCCTGTTTGATCAAGAAAAAATTTGTTTCTAAAATCGATTTGTAATTGGGGTGTTTTTTTGTTTCGCTATTTAAAATAATTACAAAACTTTCCAAAAAAAGTTTTGGTATTTAAGAAATTTTGTAAATATTAACGAATTTTTTAGAATATTTTTGGTATTTCTTAAGAATAATATTAAAATAATATTAAAAAATATTTTAAAATGGAAAATTAACCAAAAAATGGCCCAAATGTGGACCAAACACAGGCAGGATACAGCAAATGAGAGCACACACCAACAGAAGAGTCTTTTCTTTTTTAGAATATTTTTTAAAAATAATATTAAAAAATAATATTAAAAAATAATATTAAAATAATATTAAAAATATTTTAAAATGGAAAATTAACCAAAAAATGGCCCAAATGTGGACCAAACACAGGCAGGATACAGCAAATGAGAGCACACACCAACAGAAGAGTCATTTCTTTTTTAGAATATTTTTTAAGAATAATAAGACAGGTATTTTTAGAAAATATTCAAAAATGGAAAATTAACCAAAAACTGGCCCTGATGTGGACCAAACACAGCCACGAGACAGGGCAAATGAGAGCACACAGCAACAGAAGAGTCTTTTCTTTTTTAGAATATTTTTTAGATAATAAAATAATATTAAAATAATATTAAAAATAATATTAAAAATATTTTAAAATGGAAAATTAACCAAAAAATGGCCCAAATGTGGACCAAACACAGGCAAGAGACAGCAAATGAAGCAAGCAGCACTCACAGCAGCAAGGAATGAATCCAATCCCAGTTGCTAGCAGGCAGCCATTGCCAAGCCAACCCAATGCAAACTCCCTCGCCCTCTGCAGCAAGCTATGGGCCGCGCGGAGCCGCTTTGAAAGGGCTCGCCGGCCAATCAAAAACAGACAGCCACGGACCCATGGTGCACTGCTTGGGAGCGCCGGATTGGCTCCCATGCACCAGCACTCCAGCAGCCTCCACCCCATTAACGAAACGAGCGGAGGCTCGTTAAAACTATGGGGGCTGCTGGTTCGATATTTAAAAACCCTTCCGGGTTTGGAAATATGTTTCAATATCGCTTCGGAAATGGTAAAAATAACGAATTAATAACGAATTAACGAACGAAACCGCACAGGCCTATTATTTTGCATAGAATTACGGAAAAAATAGACCCCACAGCAAGCTGGCTTCAGGAAAGGCAGAAGCTGCACATCGCAAGTGCTGAACCTGACTCAGCACATAGAAGATGGCTTTGAAAGGCAGCAGATCACAGGAGCTGTCTTCATAGACCTGTCAGCAGCCTATGAGACTGTGAACCACCGCCTCCTCCTGAGAAAAATGTATAGTATCACAAAGGACGACCACCTCACCCGCCTCATAGGAAACCTGCTACAAAACAGGAGCTTTTTTGTTGAGTTCCAGGGCCAGAGAAGCAGATGGCGGAAACAGAAGAACGGCCTGCCTCAGGGGAGCGTGCTTGCTCCATCCATGTTCAACGTCTACACAAATGACCAGCCACTGCCAGAAGGGACAGAGAGTTTCATCTATGCTGATGATCGTGCCATCACCGCTCAAGCAGGGAGCTTTGAGATGGTAGAACAGAAGCTCTCCGAAGCTCTAGGTGCTCTTACTGCCTATTACAGGGGAAACCAGCTGATCCCTAATCCATCTAAAACACAGACATGTGCCTTTCATCTCAAGAACAGATAAGAACAGTCCTAAACATCCTGAGCTCTGAGGAATCCCACTGGAGCACTGCAGCTCACCCAAATACCTGGGAGTCACTCTGGACCGTGCTTTGGCCTACAAGAAGCACTGCCTGAACATCAAGCAAAAAGTGGGTGCTAGAAACAATATCATACAGAAGCTGACTGGCACAACCTGGGGATCACAACCAGACACAGTGAAGACATCTGCCCTTGCGCTGTGCTACTCTGCTGCTGAGTAAGCATGCCCAGTGTGGAACACATCTCACCACACTAAAACAGTGGATGTGGCTCTTAATGAGACATGCCGCATGATCACGGGGTGTCTGTGCCCTACACCACTGGAGAAATTACACTGCTTAGCCGGACTTGCACCACCTGACATCCACCGGGAAGTGGCAGCCAAGAGTGAAAGGACCAAGGCAGAGACATCTCCAGCTCATCCCGTTTGGATATCAGCCAGCACGTCAACGACTTAAATCAAGAAATAGTTTTCTAAGATCTACAGAGACATTCGCTGGAACACCTCAGCAAGCGAGAGTCCAAAAGTGGCAGGCTCAAACCCAGAACCTCAATCAATGGCTGATATCAAAGGAGAGACTCCCCCCTGGGCACACAGAAGACTGGGCGACTTGGAAGGCGCTGAACAGACTGCTCTCTGGCTTCACGAGATGCAGAGCCAACCTCAAGAAATGGGGCCACAAAGTGGAATCCACGACATGCGAGTGCGGAGAAGAAGAGCAAACCACTGACCACCTGCTGCAATGCACCCTGAGCCCTGCCACATGATGCACAAGGGAGGACCTTCTTGCGGCAACACCAGAGGCACTCCAAGTGGCCAGAGACTGCTCAAAGGACATTTAATCAACTACCGAGTTTGCAAAATTTGTGCTTTTTTAATCTGTTTGTTTGTTCTGTCAAAAATGTAATACAACTGTTCAATTGCCTGACACAATAAATAAAAATAAATAAAATAAAATTCAGGTAAATACTATTGAACCAACTGCTAAATATTTCAATTTTTGAAATTACCCCTTTTCCTCGTGCGTTGAGTCCTTCCGACATATTGCACAAGTCCAGTAATATCACAGCAGTGATTATCTGGTACGCTGTCTAATTCGGACCTGGAAGAGACAGAAATTTAGGCGCAATGTTTACAGCAAAAAGACATTTAAATATTCCCCCCAAAAAGGACAAACAAAATCCTTCTGCCTCTTGATAGGAATCTGGTGACATTCGAAATCTCCACAAATATATGGCACTTATTGTAATTTTATATTGTTATGTATTCACATGTTTTATGTAATTATGACGTTGTTGTTTATTGTCTGCATTTTTGGTTTGCACGTCAACGACTTAAATCTAGAAGCAGTCTGTTCAGCACCTTCCAAGTTGCCCAGTCCTCTGTGTGCCCAGGAGGGGGTTGCTCATTTGGTATCAGCCATTGATTGAGGTGCTGGGTTTGAGCCTGCCACTTTTGGACTCTCGCTTGCTGAGGTGTTCCAGCGAGTGTCTCTGTAGACCTAAGAAAACTATTTCTAGATTTAAGTCGTTGACGTGCTGGCTGATACCCAAACAGGGGATGAGCTGGAGATGTCTCTGCCTTGGTCCTTTCACTATTGGCTGCTACTTCCCGGTGGATGTCAGGTCGTGCAATACCGGCTAAGCAGTGCAATTTCTCCAGTGGTGTAGGGCACAGACACTCCATGTCTCATTCAGAGCCACATCCACTGTTTTAGCGTGGTGAGATGTGTTCCACACTGGGCATGCATACTCAGCAGCAGAATAGCACAGGACAAGGGCAGATGTCTTCACTGTGTCTGGTTGTGATCCCCAGGTTGTGCCAGTCAGCTTTCGTATGATATTGTTTCTAGCACCCACTTTTTGCTTGATGTTCAGGCAGTGCTTCTTGTAGGTCAGAGCACGGTCCAGGGTGACTCCCAGAGATTTGGGTGTGCGCAATGCTCCAGTGGGATTCCTTCCCAGGTAATGATCCTCAGATGATGATCAAGATGATGATCAAGATGATGATGATGATTATTATTATTATATTCCTAACGGGCAAAATACTGATGGCTCAGTCCTATTCAGGATCTTAGATGAAGGGTTAGGAGGCAGGATCATCAAGTTTTCAGACGAGCCCAAACTAGGAGGGAGAGTCAATACTCCAGAAGACAGGAGCAGAATTCAAAACAATCTTATTTATTATTATTATTTATTTTATTTATTGTGCAACTGTGAGCAGAACACACAACTCCGCATCTGTATGCTTGTCCGCAATGCCCTGCCTTATGTACAGAAGAAAAATTGTTTGAAGCTACAGACAATGCAGTCACTGTTGCCTGTTTTTGGTCAAAAGATATTTAGCTGCTTGTGCTCCTTATATTTTTATCACTTTTATACCAATTTATGCAATGCTTTTGACATGAAATAAAATAAATAAATCTATCTATACATATAATAAAAGTCAAAGTTTGTATGCGGCGGACAAAAGTGTGGTGGTGCGAAGGGAGGAGTATGTGCCAGCTTTCCGATTGGCTGCTGCTGTGGTGCTATTTGCATATGGTCTTTGATTGGCCAGCTACAACAGGAGCCCCTGGTGGAGAAAAGGGTTTATGACAGAAACGGAGACATGAGTGAAGGAAATTTGCATATGGTCTCTGATTGGCCAGCCTCCATTCCAAGATTCCGAGATGACAAAGAGAGGAAAGGAAAAGGCCAGAGGGGGCGGAGTCAGACAATTACCAATACAGACCACACTTGACACACAGAGTCCCCATGACCCACTCGACATCCTACTGCAGTTTGGAGGAGGATGAACCATGGATGATGGGACTTGCAGTACCATCACTCACATTCTGAGACCGCTGTTAACCTCATCCAATGACTGATCAGGACCAAACTTGGCACATAGACCTCTCATGACCCACTTTACGTTCTGGTGTGGTTTGGCCGGGGATGGACTATGGATTATGGGACTCACAGTACCTTTGCTCAATTCTTGAGACCACTGCAACCCTCATCCAATTACTGATAAAGACCAAACTTGGCACACTGAGTCTCCATGACCCACTCTACATCCTGCTGTGGATTGGAGGAGGATGCATCATGGACGATGGGACTTGCAATACCTGCACTCCCTTCCTAAGACCATTACAAATGCCAATAATGATGGATCAGGACCACAATTTACACAGAGAGCCCACATGACCCACTCTACTTCCTGGTGCGCTTTGGAAGAATTTGGCAATGGATGAAGGGACTTGCAGTCACTTCACTCACTTCCTGAGACCACTGAGACCCTCGCCAATGACTGATCAAGACCAAACTTGGCACACAGAGTCCCCATGACCCACTCTACATCCTGGTGCACTTTCGAGGAGGACAGACAATGGATGATGGGACTTCAAGTACCTCCACTCCCTTCCCAAGACTGCTGCAACTCTCATCTAATGTCCGATCAAGACCAAACTTGGCACCCAGAGCCCCCATGACCCACTCTACATCCCGATGCTGTTTGGAGGACGGACGATGGATGATGGGATTTCCAGTACCATCACTCACTTCCTGAAACCACAGCAACACTTATCCATATACCAAGAAAGACCAAACTTGGCCAACTCAATGTTCTGGTGAGGTTTGGGGGAGAACAGACTATGGATGATGGGACTTGCAGTACCTAAACTCACTTTCTGAGACCACTGTGACCCTCATCCAATGACTGATCAAGAACAAAACTTGGTGCACAGAGCCCCCACGATCCACTCTCCATTCTGGTGCAATTTGGAGGAGGATGGACCACAGATTGTGGGACTCGCAGTACCTTCACTAACTTCCTGAGCCCACTGCGAACCATATAAATAACTGATAAAGACCAACCTTGAGACACAATTGCTTTCTCAAATAACCTGGGCAGCGCCGGGTCCCCAAGCTAGTAAATAAATGAAGCAGAAGCCGGATGGTCATCTGTCAGGGGTGGTTTGAATGTCATTTTTTTGAATGGGATTGAACTAATGGCCCACGAGGTCTCTTCCAACCCTAGGATTCTATGATTCAACTCTATACTCCCGAAGTCCACGTTTCCCCCCTCTTTGACCCTAAACTCCTCTCTTTCCAACCTTTGCAATACATCAAAATGGATTTCAACCTTGTATAATATTACTTTTAAAAAGTCCGAAAAAAAGGAACACACACACAGAAAAAAAAATCCGAACCTTTCTATAAATCGATATTTAACTTCAGGCAGCTTCCACTCGGCTTTAACTTGATCTTCAGGAATGAGGCTAATCTTCGTTGGAGGGTCTCGGACATTCAAACTGATTTCTGGGGAAAAAAAAGATTAAATCTGAGTACAACCCTGTTTTACTAGTTGTATCAGGAATACGGTCTGGCTATATTGCTATATAAAAACATGCCTTTATCAAAGAATTATTTAGCCAGGTTGCTTTGAGTTTTCCGGGCTGTCTGGCCATGTTCCAGAAGCATCTTTTTCCCACATCTATGGCAGCCATCCTCGGAGGTTGTGAGGTCTGTTGGAAACTAGGCAAGTGGGATTTATATATCTGGGGACTATCTAGAAAGAAAGAACTCTTGCTCGTTGGAGGCAAGTGTTACTGTTGCAATTGGCTAGCTTGATTAGCACTGAATAGCCTTGCAGCTTAAAAGCCTGGCTGCTTTCTGCCTGGGGGAATCCAGCTGAGGGGGGAAAGGAAAGGGCCTGAGGCTGTTAGGAATTGTGGGAGTTGAATTGTGGGCCCATGCCTGATCTAACACATAATGTCCACTTATTCAAGCAAAAATAAACAATCAGTTGCTGGTTGCTTGTATTCATCACAACCAAGTACCTCTTGCAAACCGTGCAACTACTAAATTTCTATCAGTTTTGAGTATTCTGGATCACAAATTTGTTTTGATAACTGTTTGGTCTTCACAATGCTATCTGTGAACATATCTCCTCAAAAACTTGGGCTCTTTTCTCAGCTCCCCCCCCCCCCCCATCCTATGCCTCCCTCCTCTCTCCCTCCTTTCCTTCCTCTCTCCTCTTTCTCCCTCCCTTCCCTTTCCTTCCTTCCTCTTTCCTTCCTTCTTTCCTCCTCTCCTCTCTCTTTCCTTCCTTCCTTCCCTTTTGTCTTTCTTCTTTCCCTCTTTCCTCCCTCCTTCTCTCTCTTTCTCCTTCCTTTCTTCTTTTTTGTCCTTCCTTCTCCCTCCTTCCCTTTCTCCTTCCTTCCTACCTACCTTTTCATCCTTCCTTCCTTCCTTCCCTTTTCTCCCTCCTTCCCTCTCTTTCTCCTTCCTTCCCTCTCTCTTCTTCTTCTTCCTTCCTCCTTCCCTTTCCCTTCCTTCCCTCTTCTTTTCCTTCCTTTTTCCCTCTTTCTCTTTCTCCCTCCTTCCCTATCTCTTTCCTCTTCCTTCCTTCCTTCCTTCCTTCCTTCCCCTTTCCTTCATCCTTCCTTCCTTCTCTCTCTCTCTCTCTCTCTCTCTCTCTCCTTCCTTTCCTTCCTTCCTCTTTCTCCTTCCTTCTTCCCTCCTTCCCCCTTTCCTCTCCTCCCTTCCTTCTTTCCTCTTTCCTCCCTTCCTTCCCCTCTCTTTCTCCTTCCTTTCTTCTTTTTTGTCTTCCTTCTCTCTTTCCCCTCCTTCCTCTTCCTCTTTCCCCTTCTCATTCCTCTCCTTCCTCCTCCTCTCTCCTCCTCTTCCCTCCTTTCCCTTCCTTCTTCCTTCCCTTTGTCCTTCTTTCTCTTTCTTCCCTCTTTCCTCCTTTTCTCCTTCCTTCCTTTTGTCCTTCCTTCCTTCCCTCTTCCCTTCCTCCTTTCCTTTTTTTTTTTTTTTTTTTTCTCTTCCTCTGTTTTGTCCTTCCTTCCTTCCTTCCTTCCTTCCTTCCTTCCCTCCTTCCCTTCATCCTTCCTTTTTCTCCTTCTTCCTTCTTCCTTCCTTCCTTCCTTCCTCTTCACTTCTTCCCTCCCTCTTTCCTCCCCTTCCTCTCCTCCTCCTCCCTTTCTCCTTCTCTCCCTTTTGTCTTTCCTTTCCTTCTCTTTCCTCTTCCTCCCTTCCCTCCATTCCCTTCCATCCTTTCCTTCTCTTTTTCCTTCCACCTTTCCTCCTGGGGGATGTTTAGCCAGTAGAAGGAACATGAGAATCACGTTTCAAGATTTTAAAGGGTGTCCCATTGAGGAAAAGGAGGGGGAAAACTGACTTTCTGCTGCTCTAGAGACCAGCATACAAGGGAGGAATGGTTCCAAATGGCAAGGAAAGAGATTCGACAGAAAAGATCAGGAAGAACTTCCCGGAGAGTGGCCTAGGCTGCCTGGGAGGGTGGTGGAGTCTCCTTCTCTGGAGGCTTTCCTGCAGAGGCTGTCTGTTGGGAGTGCCTTTGACTGGGCTTTCCTGCATGGCAGGGGGTTGGACTGGGTGGCCCTTGCGGGTCATTCTTTGGTCCCCTCTCTCTCTTTCCTGCCTTCCCTCTTTTCTCCCTCCTTCCCTCTCTTTCTCCTTCCTTCCTTCCCTCTTTCCTCCCTCCTTCCCTTTCTCCTTCCTTTCTTCCTTTTTGTCCTTCCTTCTCTCTTTCCCCCTCCTTCCATCTTTCTCTTTCCTTCCTTCCTTTTCATCCTTCCTTCCTCCTTCCTTCCCCTTTCTCCTTCCTTCCTACTTGCCTTCCCTCTTTTCTCTCTCCTTCCCTCTTTCTCCTTCCTTCCCTCTCTCTTTCTTTCTCCTCCTCCCTTTTGTTCTTCCTTTCTCTTCTTCCCTCCTTCCTTCCCTTCTCCTTCCTTCCTCCTTCTTCTTTTCCTCCTCTTTCTTCCCTCCTTCCCTTCTCTTTCTCCTTTTCCTTTTTTCCTTCCTTCCTTTTCCTTCCTTCCTCCTGTTTCTCCTTCCTTCCTTCCTTCCTTCCTTCCTTCTTCCTTCCTTCCTTCCTTCCTTTTTTTCTTCCTTTCCTTCCCTCCTCCTTCTTCTCTTCTTCTTCTTCCTTCCTCTTCCTCCCTCCTTCCCTATCTCTTTCTCCTTCCTTCCTTTTTGTCCTTCCTTCCTTTATGGCCTCATAAATTAGTTAATTTAGCCTCCCCACACTTTAAGGTGGTACCTAATTTTCCTACTTCCTACTTGACAGATGTAACTGTCTTTCGGGTTGCAAAGGTCGACAACAGGCTACACAATTGGTTGGAAGCCCACTCTTCAACCCGGGCTGGCTTCGAACTCATGACCTTTTGGTCAGAGTGATCTTAATGCAGCTGACACTCAGCCAGCTGTGCCACAATCCGACATGTACCAGAGTTTACTTTGACTAATAACGTCAAATAAATCTATTCCAATTCCAGTTTGTAATAAAGCAAAATGAGGAAAAAGCCAAAGGGTGTGTGTGTGTGCGCGAGGCATTTTAAGGAGATTACTTTCCAACTACAGCATTATTCAAATGACCAGCCACTGCCAGAAGGGACACAGGGTTTCATCTATGCTGATGATCGTGCCATCACCGCTCAAGCAGGGAGCTTTGAGATGGCTGAACAGAAGCTCTCCGAAGCTCTAGGTGCTCTTACTGCCTATTACAGGGAAAACCAGCTGATCCCGAATCCAGCTAAAACACAGACATGTGCCTTTCATCTCAAGAACAGAGAAGCATCCCGAGCTCTGAGGATTATTACCTGGGAAGGAATTCCACTGGAGCATTGCAGCACACCCAAATACATGGGAGTCACTCTGGACCGTGCTCTGACTTACAAGAAGCACTGCCTGAATATCAAGCAAAAAGTGGGTGCTAGAAACAATATCATACGAAAGCTGACTGGCACAACCTGGGGATCACAACCAGAAACAGTAAAGACATCTGCCCTTGCGCTGTGCTACTCTGCTGCTGAGTACGCATGCCCAGTGTGGAACACATCTCACCACACTAAAACAGTGGATGTGGCTCTTAATGAGACATGCCGCATTATCACAGGGTGTCTGTGCCCTAAACCACTGGAGAAATTACACTGCTTAGCCGGTATTGCACCACTTGACATCCGCCAGGAAGTAGCAGCCAACAGTGAAAGGACCAAGGCAGAGACATCTCCAGCTCATCCCCTGTTTGGACATCAGCCGGCACGTCTACGACTTAAATCAAGAAATAGGTTGCTAAAATGTACAGAGACACTCGCTGGAACACCTCAGCAAGCGAGAGTCCAAAAGTGGCAGGCTCAAACCCAGAATCTGATACTAAATGAGAGACTCCCCCCTGGGCACACAGAAGACTCGGCGACTTGGAAGGCGCTGAACAGACTGCGCTCTGGCACCACGAGATGCAGAGCCAACCTTCAGAAATGGGGCCACAAAGTGGAATCCACGACATGCGAGTGCGGAGAGGAGCAAACCACTGACCACCTGCTGCAATGCACCCTGAGCCCTGCCACATGCACAAGGGAGGACCTCCTTGCGGCAACACCAGAGGCACTCCAAGGGGCCAGATACTGCTCAAAGGACATTTAACCAACTACCAAACTCACAAGTTTTGTATTTTGTCTGTTTGATTGCTTTGTTCTGTTAGAAATGTAATATAATGGACTGGTTGCTCTGACAAATAAATACAGCATTATGATGCAATTCCTATTTCAGATACTCAACCAATCGAAGAGAATCTCTCCATGCGCGAGTCTCCAGGAGCGGCCTGTGTTTTGAAAGGGTAGCTGGACTTGATGGCATATTGTTCCAGGAGCAGCACTGCGCCGATCTTCAGGCTGTGGTACCACTCGGGGCATAAAGAGTTCCACAGCACCATGGACATCATCCCAGAACGATCAGCCACTTCAAAATAGGCCTAAACAGGAAGGACACGCACCAAATAGATTGAGCAGCATTGCTGAAGAGAGATACCCTTTGTTCTTGTCATATCAAAGCAGAACTGGCCTTTCCAAATCACATAACATAAACTGTGTGCAAGATGAAATACAGAAATGAAGGGGATACTGCCATATCCAATACAGCAATCCTCACCAACACACACTATTTGTTAGCAAGCCATGCTTAACTCACTAGAACTTCTGGTCCAATAGATGCAGAGCAAGGCTCTTGGGCAGGCATGAGCAAACTTTGGCCCTCCAGGTGTTTTGGACTTCAACTCCCACTTCAACAGCCCACGGCTGTTAGGAATTGTGGGAGTTGAAGTCCAAAACACCTGGAGGGCCACAAAGTTTGCCCATGCCTGCTCTAGGACTACATGGACATTCCAATCTAGGTAAATAAAAATGTAATGTTACATTTACATTTTTATGTATTCACAAGTTTTTGTAATTATGATGTTGTTGTTTGTTGTATTGTCGAAGACAAAATCTGGCTACCAGTATTAAAAAACTCAAAAATTACAACAGCAAAACAACAGAGGGGAAACAAACAGGCACATAAAATCACTCTCAACAAAAGATTCCCCCCAGGCACTTCTAAGCCATTGAATGCTAATCAAGGTGATCAGCTGAAACATTCCCACCTAGCTCCAGCAGACAAAAGCCCTTTGTCTCATCCTGGTCATTCCACAGATATATAAACCCTTTTTCCTACTTCCAACAGACCTCACTACCTCTGAGGATGGTTGCCATAGATGCAGGTGAAACGTCAGGAGAAAAATTGCCTCCAGAACATGGCCATATAGCCCGGAAAAACCTACAACAACCCAGTTGTTGTTAGTTGTTCGCATTTTCAGTTTGCGTTTTCAGTTCTTCTTTATTGTAATTGTTGTTTGGGCTTGGCCTCATGTAAGCCGCTCTGAGTCCCCATTGAGGAGATGGTGGCAGAGTATAAATAAAGATTATTATTATTATTATTATTATTATTATTATTATTATTAACCCAACAAGATGAGTCCACAGCAGACACTCTGCTGGCGGTTAAATTGGATCACACGTCGGACACTTCCCAAGCGTCTAGGACTGGGTGATTTATTATTATAATTATTATTATTATTATTATTATTATTATTATTATTATTATTAGAAACACAACAAGATGAGTCCACAGCAGATACTCTGCTGGCTGTTGAATTGGATCATGCATCGGAGCAAAGGAAGGAAGGAAGGAAGGAAGGAAAGAGGTAGAGAAGGAAGAAAGGAGAGAAAGAAAGAAAAGAAAGGGGGCAAGGAGGGAGGAAAGAGAAAAGGAAATAAAAAGGAAGGAAGGAAGGAAAGAGGGAGTGAAGAAAGGATTGAAAGAGGGCAGGAGAGAGAGAAGGAAAGAGAGAAGGAAGGATGAAAGCAAAGAGCAAAGGAAGGAAGGGCGGAAGGAAGGAAAGAGGTAGAGAAGGAAGAAAGGAGAGAAAGAAGGAAAAGAAAGGGGGCAGGGAGGGAGGAAAGAGAAAAGGAAATAAAAAGGAAGGAAGGAAAGAGGGAGTGAAGAAAGGATTGAAAGAGGGCAGGAGAGAGAGAAGGAAAGAGAGAAGGAAGGATGAAAGCAAAGTCCTAACTTAATGTACAGTTTACTAATACCATTAAATATTTACGAGTAAGGTATACTAAGTTATATAAATAAATGAAACTAAATTTTTCATTTATTTATTAAATTATAAAATTAAGCTAAAAATTATAGTAATTAAGCACTATCTTTATTTAAAAATTATTTACATATTCATTGATATGATATAATTAAATATACTAATGTATTTATTAATCCAAATTATCAATTCATATTAAACTAGAATTAATTAAATTATTTTATATAATCTTACGAAAGTATTATACTCCTAAAATACATTTTTCATATTTATTTATTACATATGAACAATTAACTAAAAAACGAAGTTAATTAGTAAGATTGAAGTTTAATACGATTATTTAAATATTTCATTAACTATAATTAACAATATATAATTATTAGTGAAAATCAAAATATCATATTAATTAATTCCGTAATTCATAACTAGTTAAGTAAGGAAGAATATTATATAAATAACGTTAAAATTAATTTTTCAAATTAGTGATTAAATGTAAAATTAAATAAACGCTATTTATTATTATTAGAATATTGAGTTTAATAAATTATTTAAATATTGCATTAAATATATACATTACATCATTAATTAATTATAAATCAAATATCAATTAATTAATCCTGCACTTACTTAATAGTTATAATAAGTAATAAATTCATAAACTAATTTCATACACATTTTTCATGTGTACGTTTGGATCATACTAAAATGAAATAAAAATTAATTAAGTAAATATGGATTTAATAATTATTTAAATATTTTACATTATAATCCCGAGACACGTCCACATATATACATTAATTATTAAATTCCATAATATCAAATGACTTCCGTTAACATTAATTCCCTTACTATGTATATAATTACGACCTTATCTAAATAAGTGAGACACTAACGTTTTTACAATTTATTCTTAAAATATACATTTAATAAAAATTATTGTCAATTAAGTAACTACTTTTCATATAATCATTATTTAAATATTGCAGTATCATCTATAACGTCACTAGATAATTAGTGATGGACGCAAATGCTCTAGATGAATGGAAGGAAACGGAAGGAATTAAATCTGTTAGAGAAGGAAAAATGATATAAGAAGGAAAAGAAAGGGTGCATGGTCGGGTATTCCATTAAAATTGAAACTAAGAAATGTAATGAAGTTAGTTAAAGATTATTTGATAAAATTATTGAAAAGTTTGCATTAATATGAGAGGGAATTGCAGCAATATCAAGGATTAATGAATTAAATATGATGTATATATTAAAATGAATATAAATCCTTAAAATAAAATTTGTTCAAGTATTTAGGAACTATAACAAGTACATAAACAAAAATATAATTATTACATATTTATTTAATAAACATTATTTTAATTATTTCATTATATATATAATTACAAGTTATAATAACATTAGTTGACAATCAAAATATTCAGAACTTAAATATCGTGCTTAATTGAAGTTAAATATTATGATAATTCATAACTTATATAAATAATTAAAATAATGTTTCATTTCTTTATTAAATATAAAATTACATAAAAATAATTAATTAATTATTTAAATATTTCTTTTAATAAATTCTTTATAATATTTCATTAAATCATATAATTAATATATAGATTCTTATGGCAATCAACACATCACCCTTTAATAATTACGTTAAGTATTAAAGATTTATATGCATGAATAAATTAATAAATAATAAAATGAAATTGTTCATTTATTAGATTAAATATAAATTAATCACATAGTGAATTAATTATCAATAGTTATTTAATAAATTATTTAAATCTTTCTATTACATATAATTAAATATATAATTCATTATTTAATATGCCCATATCAATGTAAGTACTTTACTTAATTAATTAAATATTTATATAATTAATAATTCTATACATCATTTCCGACAATATTATTTTCATTTATTTATATAATAAAATTTCCATCAAAATAAATTAATAATTAATTACAATATTTCTTTAATAAATTGATTGTAAATATTTCATCAAGTATATAGTTAATTATACATCAAAGAGCAAAGGAATTAATTACATTAAATATCTTAATTTTATACTCATTACGAACATTCTATAACTAATGACAAATAAATTTTTCAGTTTATTTATTAATCAGAACGTAATAAAAAATGCAATTAATTAGATTCAATCATTTTCTTTACCTAACCTTACTTTAACTATTTCAGTAAATCGAGAGAATTATAAATAAGTAATTAATGGATGAAATCAAATACTGAGCACAATTATGAATTCAGATAGATTTAGATCCATTAATAGAAATTATGATACAATAATTTAAAATGAATTTTTCATGTGAGTTTGAGTAGATAAAAGTAATAAAATAATATAATACTGCAATAATATTTATTTCAAGAAATGACTTGATTAGGGCATTTCATCAGAGTGATAATTAAATATAGAATCAGTATAAATCAAGTATCTTTATTAATTACGTAAATTAATTAATGAAATATGTTATAGCATTAATCAAATATAAATATGAAGTTTAAATGTTGTCCATTTATTGATATAAGATAGACAAAGTAAATCAAAAAAAATTAATTTAATTAATTTACTCTTTATCAATTCAATAATTACTTCATTCGCATTTAAATTAATTAATTAATGAATTTACGTTAATTAAGTATATATTTAAGCAATTTATTCAATATGTTGACCACAGCAACGCGTGGTGGGTACAGCTAGTAACATTATTAGAACCCATCACAGAAAGTTTGAGCATTACAGAATGAGAGAGCATACAAAATTGATTTTTTGGGATATGTGGCTGTGTGGAAGGCCCCTGAGTGTGGACTCAGACAACCCAGTTCAAAGCAGATATTGTGGATTATCTGCCTTGATATTCTGGAATATGGCCCAGTGAATGAAAATACATCCTGCATATTAGATATTTACATTGCGATTCATAACAGTAGCAAAATTTCAGTTATGAAGTAGCAACGAAAATAATGTTATGGTTTGGGGTCACCACAAAGGAGGAACTGTATCCAGGGGTCGCGGCATTGGGGAGGTTGAGAAACACTGCTCTAGAGTCTAATCAAAACATCAAATACCTGATTAGGATATTTATCAACTGTATCAATTTCTACCTGTAAAAATAATGATACTAACTTTCAAATATGAATAATTAAAATGACTAGAATTCCTACTACTTCTGAAAATTGGTCCCTGGTCCTTCCACAATTGTCCAACTGTGTCTCGTGCTAACATTCCAATAGATGTGCATTTATATTGTTTTGCTTGACTATGTACGTTTACTAAAGGAACCATATTGATTTCGGCCTATGTATTGCACCAGATCACACTTGACATCCAGCCATAAATCCAAACGCTGAAAGCTCTGTGCTAGAACTGTAGACTTCCTACCTGATATGGCACATCGAGTTTCGTTTCAGGTTTCCCGTAAAACCGTAACCTCGCTTTGTGCATGATCCTAACGAGCAAAGGCGGGAAATTGAGTCTGATCCTCCAGTTCTGTTCCAGTTGTACGAGGGAAGTTACCTTGGATACTAGGAAAACAGAGAAGTATCTCATTTTTTTAAAAAAAAAAATCTTTATTTGGTTTTTTAGATAAAAGCACAGAAAATATACTTTTATATTGATAAAATACAATAGACAAAATTGAGCGGGTAGAAAGAAAGAGAAGAAAGAAGAGAGAAAAAAATAAGATTAAAAAGTTTGTGTGGGAAGGTGTAGAAAATAAAGGAGAGAACAGTGAGGATGCTTGGATAGATGCAGGTGAAATGTCAGGAGAGAATGCCTCTAGAACAGTGTTTCTCAACCTGGGGGTCGGGACCCCTGTGGGTGTCGTGAGGGGGTGTCAGAGGGGTCGCCAAAGACCATCAGAAAACATAGTATTTTCTGTATTGTCGAAGGCTTTCATGGCTGGAATCACTAGGTTCTTGTGGGTCACTCCCTCTGAGGATGCTTGCCATAGATGCAGGCGAAACGTCAGGAGAAATGCCTCTAGAACATGGCTCTATAGCCCGAAAAAACCCACAAGAACATAGTATTTTCTGTTGGTAATGGGTTCTGTGTGGGAAGTTTGGTCCAATTCTATTGTTGGTGGGGTTGAGAATGCTCTTTGATTGTAGGTGAACTATAAATCCCAGCAACTACAACTCCCAAATGTCAAGGTCTATTTTTCTCAAACTCCTCCAGTGGTCACATTTCAGCATATTGAGTATTTGTGCCAAGTTTTGGTTCAGTTTCATCATTGGTGGTGTTCAGAATGCACTTTGTAGGTGAACTATAAATCCCAGCCACTACAGCTCCCAAATGACAAAATCAATCTCCCCCCAACCCCACCAGTATTCAAATTTGGTCATATTGGGTATTTGGGATTCGAAAATACATCCTGCATATCAGATATTTACGTTATGATTCATAACAGTAGCAAAATTACAATTACGAAGTAGCAATGAAAATGTTATGGTTGGGGGTCACCACAACGTGAGGAACTGTACTAAGGGGTCCCAGCATTAGGAAGGTTGAGAAACACTGACCCAGGAGATAATTATTATAATAATTGTAGCTGCACAATCACAAGTAACGTCGTTTCGAGTAAGAATTGATCACAAAACCTGCTCCATCAAGGATAAAATATCCATATGGTTGCATTGATTTTTGCCTCAAAAAGCACAAATCCTTGCTAAACACACAACAGATGTTGAAACCATCACAATATTAGGTTCTTGTGGATTTTTTCGGGCTATAGGGCCATGTTCTAGAGGCATTTCTCCTGACGTTTCGCCTGCATCTATGGCAAGCATCCTCAGAGGTAGTGAGGTCTGTTGGAATTAGAACAATGGGTTTATATATCTGTGGAATGACTAGGGTGGGACAAAGGACTCTTGTCTGCTGGAGCTAGGTGTGAATGTTTCAACTGACCACCTTCATTAGCATTTGAAGGCCTGGCTGAGCCTGGGAAAATGTTCTGTTGAGAGGTGTTAAGATGTGCCTGGTTGTTTCCTCTCTGCTGTTTTGCTGTTGTAATTTTAGAGTTTTTTTAATACTGGTAGCCAGATTTTGTTCATTTTCATGGTCTCTTCCTTTCTGTTGAAATTGTCCACATGATGATACGACAAGGATCCTCGGGTTGAGGTTACCTTGTTTCGGGGGACTTTCCCTTCTTCAGGGTTTGTCTTCTTTATGAAAGTGGTTGATTCACACCATACATCCGCTATAAATGAGACGACGCTGGCCCTACAGTAAGGTCTTCAGTAGTGAGCCACTAGTGATGTACGGATGTACGGTGTGAATCACCCACTTTCATAAAGAAGACAAACCCTGAAGAAGGGGAAGTCCACCGAAACAACCCGGGGATCCTTGTCGTATCATCATCTGGATTATATTTTGAACTGTATTATCATTCGGATTGTATTTTAAACTGGATACCATTTGGATTTAATTTGGACAGTATTTGAAGATAATTTACTGTCTCAAGGACTACAACATAACGAAGCAACGCTCTGTTTTGTTTTGTGATTCATGTGCAGCGTATTTACACGCTTGATGCTAACACAGTTCTGTTTTGATAACATTTTGCAACTTGTATTTTGTTCTTGTTTGCTTCCTCTCTGTTGTTGTGCTGTTGGAATTTTAGAGTTTTTTTAATACTGGTTGTTTTCAGGCTATATGGCAATGGTCTAGAGGCATTCTCTCCTGACGTTTCGCCTGCATTTATGGCAAGCATGCTCAGAGGTAGTGAGGTCTGTTGGAAATAGGAAAATGGGTTTATATATCTATGGAATGACCAGGGTGGGACAAAGGACTCTTGTCTGCTGGAGCTAGGTGTGAATGTTTCAACTGACCACCTTGATTAGCATTTGATTGCCTGGCAGTGCCTGGAGCAATCTTTTGTTGAGAGGTGATTGGATGTCCTTGTTTGTTTCCTCTCTGTTGTTGTGCTGTTGGAATTTTAGAGTTTTTTTTAATACTGGTAGCCCGATTTTGTTCATTTTCATGGTTTCCTCCTTTCTGTTGAAATTGTCCACATGCTTCTTGTGGATTTCAATGGCTTCTCTGTGTAGTCTGACATGGTGGTTGTTGGAGTGGTCCAGCATTTCTGTGTTCTCAAATAATATGCTGTGTCCAGGTTGGTTCATCAGGTGCTCTGCTATGGCTGACTTCTCTGGTTGAAGTAGTCTGCAGTGCCTTTCATGTTCCTTGATTCATGTTTGGGCAATGCTGCTGCGTTTGGTGGTCCCTATGTAGACTTGTCCACAGCTGCATGGTACACGGTAGACTCCTGCAGAAGTGAGACGATCCCTCTTGTCCAGGGGTCCTCAAACTACGGCCCGCGGGCCACTTCCGGCCTGCCAAGGGCACTTATCCGGCCCACAATGGCGGAGTGCCCCCCCCCACACACACACACACATTGCCCCTCCCTTGGCTGGCTTACGCTATCCGTCAGGCCCGATGGGCAGCATGAGCCAGCCAAGGGTGGCTGCCCTGCGCGGCCTACTCTTGCGTAAAGCACCTCACAGAGTAGGCCGCGTGGTGCTGCTCCTCCCTTGGCAGGCTCACGCTGCCCAATGCGCCCGATGGGCAGGGTGAGCCAGCGAAGGCAGGCTGCTCCGGCGCTCCATGCAGTCATGTCGGCCACATGACCTTGGAGGTGTCTACAAACAACGCCGGCTCTTCGACTTAGAAATGCAGATGAGCAGCACACCCCAGAGTCAGACACGACTGGACTTCATGTCAGAGGAAAACCTTTAACTAGGAAAATTGTGGAAGATCCAGGGTGGGAGAAAGAACTCTTGTCTGTTGGAGGTAGGTATGAATGTTTCAATTGGCCACCTTGATTACCATTTCATAGCCTGACAGTTTTTAGAATCCTTTGTTGAGAGGTGATTAGCTGGCCCTGATTGTTTCTTGTCTGGAGTTCCCCTGTGTTTGAGTGTTGTTCTTTATTTACAGTTATAATTTTAGAGTTTTTTTAAATACTGGTAGCCAGATTTTGTTCAGACTAGAAATAGGAAGATTTCCCATTCTCTGCTCCTGGAATTACTGCCTAAAGAGGGCTAGAAAGAACCCCCTCTAAGGGCCCTTCCACACAGCAAAATAAGATATGTGCAATGTGCATAGGAATTTTTTTATTGATTTTTTTTTAAAAAAAAAACTATAGTCCAGCCCTCCAACGGTCTGAGGGACAGTGAACTGGCCCCCGGTTTAAAAAGTTTGAGGACCCCTGTCTTAGTTGGACAAAACAACTTGTCAGTCATTTACAACTTTTTTGTTCCTTGATTCGTGTAAACAATCAGGCACATCTAATCACCTCTCAACAAATGTTTGCTCCAGGCACTGTCAGGCCATTATATGCTAATCAAGGTGGTCAGTTGAAACATTCACACCTAGCTCCAGCAGACAAGGGTCCTTTGTCTCACCCTGGTCATTCCACAGATATATAAACCCTTTTTCCTAGTTCCAACAGACCTCACTACCTCTGAGGATGCTTGCCATAGATGCAGGCGAAACGTCAGGAGAGAATGCCTCTAGACTATGGCCATATAGCCCGAATAAACCTACAACAACCCAGTGATTCCGGCCATGAAAGCCTTCGACAATACAAGGTATGCTCAGTCTGCATTTGTCTCCTGCTTGCTACATTGTGCATGAAACCAAGTTTGTGTACAATGTGCCACTAGAAAAGAAAGGTGTTACAGTCTCAACAATCCATGTGGACGATTCTGGGAAGCTTCTGAATTCCGCGTAAGGATTTTGTCTCCGCTTAAACTTACCATCAACACAAACCTCTTGCGAGGGCTTCCTTGCCACCCACATCTCCCCGTACGGATCTTCGCTATTCCACAAAGGAAGGTAATGCTTCTTCACCCCTTTCAACGGCACCGGGAGCTTCTCGTTGTATTCCTTCAGCTCCTGAAGCGTGTCCTCCGAGTCCGACGCCCCGAGGATTTCGAGCCCCTCGACACACAGGAACCCACAGCCTAGCTTCTTCTCATTGTGCATGTAGGAACATTTGGTGACCTTCACTTGCAGGCCGCAGCGCAGGGCATTCTTCTGCACCAGAGGGTTCAGTGCGGGGCAGAGGTGGCACCGCTCCTTGTAGGCCCCGTCACTCAAGGTGAGGTCGTAGTAGTAGGCCGGCCAGGGAGCCGCCTGCGAGGGTCCGGTCGCGGGGGACTTGCAAGTCTGGCTCGGTGGTGGCAATTCGGCCACGTAGCGCTCCACAGCCAGGACGGTCACAGGTTGGGCGTCCGGGAGGGAGAGCCGCAGCTGAGGCATGTTCTGCACTTGCCGAAAAGTCCTCGGGATCCAGGAGCCCAGCGTTGAAGGGGCCCCTTCTGCGGCCCCTGTTTCTGGGGCCCCAATTCCTCTGCCCTCCACTCCTGAAGCCATTTCTGTGTCAGTTCCTCTGCCCTTCATTTCGGAAGACATTTCTGTGTCCGTTCCTTTGTCCTCCATTCCTGATTCCATTTCTGTGCCTCTGATTCTTCTGCCCTTCATTTTGGAAGATATTTCTGTGTCCGTTCCTTTGTTCTCCATTCCTGAGTCCATTTCTCTGCCTCCGATTCCTCTGCCCTTCACTCCTGAAGTCATTTCTCTGTCAGTTCCTTTGTCCTCCATTCTTGAGTCCATTTCTGTGCCTCTGATTACTCTGCCCTTCACTCTTGGAGCCATTTCTGTGTCGGTTCCTCTGCCCTTCATTTCGGAAGACATTTCTGTGTCCATTCCTTTGTCCTCCATTCCTGAGTCCATTTCTCTGCCTCCAATTCCTCTGCCCTTCGTTGCTGAAGCCATTTCTGTGCTTCCAAGTCCTGTATCAATCACTTCTGAGGCCATTTCTGTATCAATTACTTTGCTCTTTACTCCTGAGGTCATTTCTGTGCCTCCAAATCGTCCACCCTTCACTTTTGAAGCCGTTTCTGTGCCTCCAATTCCTTTATCAATCACTGCTGAGGCCATTTCTGTCCCAATTCCTTTGCCCTTCGCCCCTGAGGCCACTTCCTTGCCTCCAGTTCCTTTCTTCTTCCCATCTGAAGCCATTTCTGTGTCGGTTTCTCTTCCCATCACTTTGGAGGCCACTTCCTTGCCTCCATTTCTTTTTACTTTCACTTCTGAGGCCATTTCTGTCCCAATTCCTTTGCCCTTCACTCCTGAAGCCTTTTCCGTGCTTCCAACTCCTTTGCCCTTCACTTTTGAGGCAATTTCTGTGCTTCCAACTCCTTTATCAATCACTTCTGAGGCCATTTCTGTCCCAATTCCTTTGCCCTTCCTTTCTGAGGCCACTTCCTTGCCTCCAATTCTTTTTCCTTTCACTTCTGAGGCCATTTCTGTCCCAATTCCTTTCCTCTTCACTCCTGAGGTCATTTCTGTGCCTCCAAGTCCTTTATCAATCACTTCTGAGGCCATTCCTGTCCCAATTCCTTTGCCTTTCGCTTCTGCGGCCATTTCTGTGCCTCCATTTCCTTTCCCAAACACTCCTGAGGCCATTTCCGTCCCATTTCCTTTGATTTTTCTTCCTGAGGCCACTTCCTTGCCTCCAGTTCCTTTCCTCTTCCCATCTGAAGCCATTTCTGTGTCCATTCCCTTCTTCATCATTTTGGAGGCCCCTTCCTTGCCTCCCTTTCCTTTCCTTTTCACTTTTGAGGGCATTTCTGTGCCTCTCTTTCTCTCCTTCCAGTGTCACTTCCTTTCCTGAGGCCTCTGGAGCCCTTTCTGGGTCCCTTTTGCTTTCTCTTCCGCTCCTGAAGCCACTTCCGGCCCTCCCCTTCCTCCCCCTCCCCTTCCTCCCCCTCAGGGAAGCTTTTTCCTTCCTTCTTCCGCTTCCCTCTTCCCTTTCTTTCTTCCTATTTCCATTTCCGCGACTTCCTGAAGCCGTGCCTTGAGTCTGAGGGGCGCCACGCCAAACGAGAAAGGCACTTCCGCCCAAACGCCTCCCGCGGCCGCCATGATTGTAAAGGGCACAACAAGCCCTTCTCTTGAATCGGCCAATGGGAAGGGCTCTTCAGTGACGGGCGGAAGGCTTGCCCAATCGCGTGAAAGGGATAGGGCGGGGCTTCGAGGTACCAGCCAATGGGCGTAGAAGGAAAGCTCTTTCCGGAAGATGTGTTGCCAGAAGGCTTTCACTGGGTTGTTGTGAGTTTTCTGGACTGTCTGGCCAATGTTTCAGAAGCATTCTCTCCTGACGTTTCGCCCACATTGTGGGGTCAGTTTGAAACTAAGAAAAATGGGATTTATAGATCTGAGGCAAGTGGGGTTGATAGGCAAGTATGAATGCTGCAATTGGCACTGAATGGCCTTGCAGCTTCAAAGTCTGGCTGCTTACTGCCTGAAGGAATCCTTTGTTAGGAGGTGTTAGCTGGCCCAGATTGATTCTTGTCTGGAATTCCTGTCCAAGTTTGCCCATGTCTGTTTGGGGCAAGTGTGAATGCTGCAATTGGCCACCTTGATTAGCACCAAATGGCCTTGTAGCTTCATAGTCTGGCTGCTTACTGCCTGAAGGAATCCTTTGTTGGGAGGTGTTAGCTGGCCCAGATTGATTCTTGTCTGGAATTCCTGTCAGGGCCCCCCAAGCACCGTAAGATCTACATAGATACTCACAGGAACACCTCAGCAAGTGAGAGTCCAAAAGTGGCAGGCTCACATGCAGAACCTTATTATTATTATTATTATTATTATTATTATTTACAAAACAGGAGCTTTTTTGTTGAGTTCCAGGACCAGAGAAGCAGATGGTGGAAACAGAAGAACGACCTGCCTCAGGGGAATGTGCTTGCCCCATCCATGTTCAACATCTACACAAATGACCAGCCACTGCCAGAAGGGACACAGAGTTTCATCTATGCTGATGATCGTGCCATCAGCGCTCAAGCAGGGAGCTTTGAGATGGTTGAACAGAAGCTCTCCGAAGCTCTAGGTGCCCTTACTGCCTATTACAGGGAAAACCAGCTGATCCCTAATCCATCTAAAACACAGACATGTGCTTTTCATCTCAGAACAGACAAGGATCATCTGGGAAGGAATCCCACTGGAGCATTGCAGCGCACCCAAATACCTGGGAGTCACTCTGGACCGTGCTCTGGCCTACAAGAAGCACTGCCTGAACATCAAGCAAAAAGTGGGCGCTAGAAACAATATCATACGAAAGCTGACTGGCACAACCTGGGGATCACAACCAGACACAGTGAAGACATCTGCCCTTGCGCTGTGCTACTCTGCTTCTGAGTACGCACACCCAGTGTGGAACACATCTCACCACACAAAAACAGTGGATGTGGCTCTTAATGAGACATGCCGCATTATCACGGGGTGTCTGCGCCCTACACCACTGGAGAAATTACACTGCTTAGCCAGTATTGCACCACCTGACATCCGCCGGGAAGTAGCAGCCAATAGTGAAAGGACCAAGGCAGAGACATCTCCAGCTCATCCTCTGGTTGAGTATCAGCCAGCACGTCAACGACTTAAATCTAGAAATAGTTTTCTAAGATCTACAGAGACACTTGCTGGAACACCTCAGCAAGCGAGAGTCCAAAAGTGGCAGGCTCAAACCCAGCACCTCAATCCATGGCTGATACCAAATGAGAGACTCCCCCCTGGGCACACAGAGACTGGGCGACTTGGAAGGCGCTGAACAGACTGCGCTCTGGCACCACGAGATGCAGAGCCAACCTCAAGAAATGGGGCTACAAAGTGGAATCCTCGACATGCGAGTGCGGAGAAGAGCAAACCACTGACCACCTGCTGCAATGCAACCTGAGCCCTGCCACATGCACGATGGAGGACCTTCTTGCGGCAACACCAGAGGCACTCCAAGTGGCCAGATACTGGTCAAAGGACATTTAATCAGCTACCAAGTTTGCAAAATGTGTGTGTGTTTTTTTATCTGTTTGTTTGCTTTGTTCTGTTAGAAATGTGGTACAGTGTTCTGGTTGCGGATGACACGATAAATAAATAGCATATTAAAACCAGACACGGAGGGCGGGCCAAATGTGTGAGGTAAATTGTTTAAAAAGTTAAAACCCTGGGTGAGATAGGGATAAAAGTGCATTTGTAGGAAAGGATTGGTAATGACTATAGGAATGGAATAACGGAAAATGATACTGGATTGTGGTTTGGACGACGAGATGACGCTGGATGGTTTCGTAGTATAATGCTTTTGTATAATGCTTTTCGTATAATGTTTTTTGCATAATGGTTCGGTAATTGTTTTTATACTGTGTTTTGTATTTTGTTCTTCCCATGTTGTTCTTCCCATGTTGTGAGTCGCCCTTGGGCTGAGAACAGCAGTATGGAAGCAAAGTAAATAAATAAGGGAAAAAAGGGTGACACAAACAACTACCGTCCGGTCAGCCTCACGTCGATACCAGGCAAGATTCTGGAAAAGATTGTTAAGGAAGCGGTCTGCAAACACTTAGAAACAAAAGCGGTCATCGCTAATAGTCAACATGGATTTATCAAAAACAAGTCATGCCAGACTCATCTGATCTCTTTTTTCGATAGAGTTACAAGCTGGGTAGATGCGGGAATGCCGTGGATGGAGCGTACCTGGATTTCAGGAAGGCCTTCTTTGACAAGGTCCCCCATGACCTTCTGGCAAGGAAACTAGTCCAATGTGGGCTAGGCAAAACTACGGTGAGGTGGATCTGTAATTGGTTAAGTGGACGAACACAGAGAGTGCTCACTAATGCTTCCTCTTCATCCTGGAAAGAAGTGACAAGTGGAGTGCCGCAGGGTTCCGTCCTGGGCCCGGTTCTGTTCAACATCTTTATTAATGACTTAGATGAAGGGCTAGAAGGCAGGATCATCAAGTTTGCAGATGACACCAAATTGGGAGAGAGAGCCAAGACTCCAGAGGACAGGAGCAGGATTCAAAACCATCTGAACAGATTAGAGAGATGATGGCCAAAACTAACAAAATGAAGTTCAACAGGGACAAATGCAAGATACTCCACTTTGGCAGGAAAAACGAAATGCAAGGATACAGAATGGGGGACAATGCCTGGCTCGAGAGCAGTACATGTGAAAAAGATCTTGGAGTCCTCGTGGACAACAAGTTAAACATGAGCCAACAATGTGATGTGGCGGCAAAAAAGCCAATGGGATTTTGGCCTGCATCAATAGGAGCATAGTGGATCTAGGGAAGTAATGCTACCCCTCTATTCTGCTTTGGTTAGACCACACCTGGAATATTGTGTCCAATTCTGGGCACCACAATTCAAGAGAGATATTGACAAGCTGGAATGTGTCCAGAGGAGGGCGACTAAAATGATCAAGGGTCTGGAGAACAAGCCCTATGAGGAGCGGCTTAAGGAACTGGCCATGTTTAGCCTGAAGAAGAGAAGGCTGAGAGGAGATATGATAGCCATGTATAAATATGTGAGAGGAAGCCACAGGGAGGAGGAGGGAGCAAGCTTGTTTTCTGCTTCCCTGGAGACTTAGGACGCAATGGAACAATGGCTTCAAACTACAAGAGAGGAGATTCCATCTGAACATGAGGAAGAACTTCCTGACTGTGAGAGCCGTTCAGCAGTGGAACTCTCTGCCCCGGAGTGTGGTGGAGGCTCCTTCTTTGGAAGCTTTTAAACAGAGGCTGGATGGCCATCTGTCAGGGGTGATTTGAATGCAATATTCCTGCTTCTTGGCAGAATGGGGTTGGACTGGATGGCCCACGAGGTCTCTTCCAACTCTTTGATTCTATGATCCTATGAAATAAATAAATAAACAGGGAGGAACCATGGGATTTAGCCATTTTGTGGGGGGGGGGGGGGGGGGGGAAGATGCTTTATTCTGAGGGCAGCTGTAGACTAAGACAACCAGATGGGTTGAAAGGTCATTCTCCAAAAGCACAACGGAAGAGCCAGGATTTTAGGTCTTTCTTAAAACCAGCTAGGGTGGGGGCTTGCCTGATCTCCTTAGGCAGCAAATTCCAAAAGCTGGGGGCCACAGCGGAAAAGGCCCTCTCCCTCGTTCCCGTAAGACGAGTCTGTGATAGAGGTAGGGGCGAGAGAAGGGCCTCTTCAGCGGATTAAAGAGATCATGCAGGTTTGTGGAGATGCGGTCACGCAGGTAAGCGGGTCCCAAACCGTTCAGGGCTTTGTAGGTAATAACCTGCACCTTGAATTGGGACTGGAAGGTGAACCGCTCTGTACTTCGCCCTGGTTAGAAGTCTGGCTGCCGAGCATTGGACTAATTGATGTTTCCAGGCCGTCTTCAAGGGCAACCCCCCGTAGAGTGCATTGCAATAGTCCAGTCTAGAAGTAACTAAGGTGTGAGGAAGTCATAGGGAGGAGGGAGCAAGCTTCCTTTCTGCTTCTCTGGAGACTAGGACGCAATGGAACAATGGCTTCAAACTACAAGAGAGGAGATTCCATCTGAACATGAGGAAGAACTTCCTGACTGTGAGAGCCGTTCAGCAGTGGAACTCTCTGCCTCGGAGTGTGGTGGAGGCTCCTTCTTTGGAAGCTTTTAAACAGAGGCTGGATGGCCATCTGTCAGGGGTGCTTTGAATGCAATATTCCTGCTTCTTAGCAGAATGGGGTTGGACTGGATGATGGCCCAGGAGGTCTCTTCCAACTGTTTCATTCTAGGATTCTGTGATTCTATATGTGATCCAATACAGTGGACTCATCTTGTGGTGTTTCAAATAATAATAATAATAATAATAATAATAATAATAATAATAATAATAATAGAGTTGGAAGAGACCTCAAAGGCCCTCTAGTCTAACCCACTTTTGCCTTCAAAACAAGATGCTGTTTACCTTCATTTTCAATCAGTTGTCACCAACTTCTGAGAAAATAACGAGAAAAATATCTATTATTTCTTGAATATTGCTTTATTTATGCTTTTTCAAATATACAATTGGACATGAAAGAAAAACTTAGAAGTTTTTAAAAAAAACCCAAACCCAATGACATACAGTGCATAGTATTCGTTGTTCCCGTTTTGTAAATGAAAAAGTCTC